TAGTAATAGGAATCTATAATAATAAATTCAACATGCCAGCATTGTTTAAGTATATGTATAGCCTATACGTCCTTAAGACGATTAAATTACATCGACTGATTTAATTGACGGATCGTCTATCGTGGAATATTTACTAGCTTTTTATGCATCTGACTCGTAAGAGTTATGAATGGAGATGTGCACAATCACGCTGTTTAATGGTAATACGAGTCATTTAATTCGTAGCGACTTCACGGAGGAAATTATACCGGAACGAATGCGCAGCGGCGATTACGTGCGTCGACTAATTTCCGGCAAGCAAAACGAGAAGAGGACCGACTTTGTGCCGATCTCCTGGTACGAGGTGCCCGAACGGGGTAACTTCGGTACAATGGCCTGCGTCAAGTACGTCGCCGGTAAACCGCAATCGGTCAGGAGACCGTACTACAAGGTCGCCGATTTACGCCCGTCGGACATCAAAAACGACGTCAATTTTTTGAGTTACTATAGCAAGAACCGCGAGGCGGCCGCTAACGCCTGTAAGTAACCACGATACGACGAACCGACGACGAATTACCCACGACCGTTCGGACGACGACCACGAGATCACGATTATTCATGATTCATTATACAGTGGAGCTTCGATCGACAGCGATTTAATTCATGGGACACAGAAAGTAATCTTTCTCAATTCTTCGCATCGTCAATTACAAAAATTGATTCATTCGCTTTCTGGGTCTTCTCTGTGCGTTAAACACCCGGAGCTCTAATTCTAACTGCGACTACCCAAGAACTGGCAAACAGATTGTAATCGACATTACTGAATTTTCACTTTACTCTACATTTGTACTTTAGATGATCGACGTTCTACTGTATCGCTATTACTTTTAATCAGACGACACGAACGAACAATTGAACCCTATTATGAAACGTGTAACGCTAGTAGTTTAGAGAGAGAAAGAGTGAGAGCGAGAAGGTTCGATCACGAAATAATGAATGTGAAATCTGCGATGAATGATCGAACTTCCTCGAGCTCGTAGAATATATCAGGATGAAACTTTGAAAATAAAAGCGGCCATGTGACGCCGTTGTGTGAACCTATTTTTGGGTTTTTTCTTTCCCGCTCGACTTTTTTTCTACTTTTCATTTTTTGGATGGATTGCCGTTGATCCGCTGTATGTGACAACTCTTTTTGCTATGCTTTACATTACGTTTTGCCGTTTTTGTTCCTCCTTCGTTACGTACTCTCCTCTTTATCTTCTCTTTTTTTATTGTTCGTAGTTACGTGTTTACACTTCTGTTACGTATTGTGTCTAATCGAATTGCGTACGTAGCGGCGAAGGTGTGAGACAGAGTATCGGTGGTTCGTTTTATTTTTATTACGTTTTTGATACGGTAATCGCGCGTCGCGATATCGACGAAGGGAATCGATGATGAATCGATCGGGCAATCGGAAGTACGTATAAAAGGCGTGAAACTGAAAACTGAAAAGTGAGAGCGCAAGACGTTGCACGAAGGCAGAACTCCAGTGCCGGCCAGAACCAGATGACTGGGGCACGCAAACGCGGGTAAAAACGGCAGAAGAACCAGTTCGGATTTTTTGAACGTTTCAGGCAAGGGATGGAGGGATCGGGTTCCAGAGCTATACGAGGATCCCGCGAAAACCAAAAAGAAGCAGGACGACGCAGAGAACGAAAACGAGGAAGCCGAGGAGTGACCGCGCTCATGTTAAATACCGTTTTCTTAAATATCTAAGAACACGACAAAGTCCAGCCTTCTCTCGGAATTTCAATCGGATTAACTTTGCGACCATCTAAATTTGAATTCCACGCTGGCGATCACTCGCGAAATTCGAACAGAACGAAAAGGTTTTAACGATTTGGCCGATTAAATGTTCCGCACTATTCAATATCGTTAAACCTGTCTCGAAAGCTGACCAAATAAAATGATCATACAGGACACGTAAATAATAATTGTTTTCCTTGCACAAAATTGATTGGAAGAGCTGGCTAACGAGTGAATGCGTTGTTCCGAGGTAAGCTTGCCCGCCCCACACGTGCTTTCATAAAATCTCTAACAACAACGACAAGCCGGCTGATACTTTCGAACTTGAGTGATTTTCGGCTGGCGATAGACATTAATCAGTTTCTGACAGTAACAAGATCGAGCGTTGGACGAGAGTGTTCCTCACATTCCGCGAGGACGAACGCTACGACATGTTTTAATCCGAAGACCGTAACGTGATTCGTTCGTCGGAAACAAATGAGAAAGCAAAACCGGTGAAAACACGTTGTTAAGTATTATGTGTGGTTTCCTTCTCATTCTGATCGGAAGATCATCGAAACGAGACGAGGAAACTGTAACCCGATTCATCGTTCCTGCGCGAGATATCAGGAATAATTAATCGCCGAACTCGAATTATCCTAATACGCTAATTCATTTGTCGCACACCATCGTGTCTAATCCGATCGCGTGTATAAAATGCTTTCAGCGTTGGTACACGTAACGAATTAACCGACAAGTTTTACGTCGCTCTGTATCATAACTTTATCTTATCAAGTCTCCGCTAACGTTTTAACCGCAGCTTCGTTCCCTCTGGATACTCGCGTTTATTTCAGATACAGAACCGTAGCTCGAGGAACCCTTTCCCGTTAAACGTGTATTTATGTTTCATGTTCGTAGCACCAGACGAGCCGATGACAGAAAGAGAATTGCGGAAGGGTCAGTAAAAATCACGTCAAATAAACTGTGTTACCCCCGTTATTCCGTATACTCCTTGTTCACGTAGTTTCACGAATTTTAGCGCGAGCTTTGCAACCCGACGTCGACGTGTCGACGTTAAGGAAAGGTAGGATCTCTCACTTAATCGTTAGACTGCAGATTTTTGTGCAAGATAAAGACACAGACAGATGTTGCTTACATCATTTAAACATTCAGATACTCCTTCAAGTTTTTATACATTCAACTGTTCCATACGTAATTTCTGCGTCTATCATTTTTTTTTATAAAATCTGCAGTCTGGTGATTGTGTGTTTGGAAACACGGCGTGCCGTCATTGTTCCGTGTATCTTGTAGCAACGGTTAAAACAGAGAAAGAAGAGCCTAAAGAAAAGAAAAGAGGATCGAAACGGGGAAAGACGGAGACAAAGGAGGAACCCGTCAAAGCTCCATTGGCATCCGTGAGGGAACCAGAACCTGAACCCCTAGAGAAATCCCAACCAGATCCTGAACCCGTAAAGGAACCCGAACCTGAACCCGTGAAAGAGCCAGAGCCCGTTAAGGAACCTGAGCCAGAACCGAAACCTGTGAAAGAATCCAAAAAGAAAGCTAAACTTACAAAAGAAGCTAAGCCTGTGAAGGAACCAGAACCCGTAAAGGAGCCTGAGCCTGTAAAGGAACCAGAACCGGTGAAGGAGCCTGAGCCTGTAAAGGAACCAGAACCCGTAAATGAGCCTGAGCCTGTAAAAGAACCTGAGCCTGAACCCGTTAAAGAACCTGAGCCTGAACCCGTTAAAGAACCTGAGCCTGAACCCGTTAAAGAACCTGAGCCTGAACCCGTTAAAGAACCTGAGCCTGAACCCGTTAAAGAGCCTGAGCCCACTAAGGAACCAGAACCCGTCAAAGAACCAGAATCCGAACCCGTTACGGAGCCTGAACCAGTAAAAGAGCCTGAACCCGAGCTCGCGAAAGAACCGGAAGTAATCGCGGAGCCCGAGAACGTGCCGGAACCTGTCAAGGAACCGCAACAAGAATCAGAAACGGTGGAAGAACCGACAGCGGAGCCGACATCTGGGTCGGAGTCCAAACAAGAATCGGTGCCGGAAACGAGTTCAGAACCTCCAGCCGCGGAAGCTGTAAGTGAATCAGCAGAAACAGACGAGGCGGAGAAAGAGGGCGAGGATGGTACGTTATTTCTCAAAAATAGGTTGCTCAGGAATGTATGATTTAAGAATCGCGGCGAGTATAACTGAGACACAGTTTCTGTTCCCTAATTCGTTATTAAGTGTCGCATGATGTGTTAGGAGATATCATGATTTTTCGATGTTCCGTTTAGAATTAACTTTGATTGATTGTCTGTTACGATTTCCCTGGTTCGTCGTTACATGTCGCATGACAGCCTCGTGTCGAGACATCAGAAGATCGTATTAAAAAAAAAAAAAAACAAATCTCTCTATCTAGGATCGATCGCTTGAAATCGATATTAAACGAAAAATTTTCTTACAGTGAAGCAAGATAAGGAGGAAGCCATTACGAAAATCGAAAAGTACCTTATCAAAGCTGCCGAGGAGGCAAAGTACGTAGATCGAAGTTGGCACGTACGCGTTAAAAACGTTACGTAACGAGTGTAGCGCGGTTCAAAATAATGTCGACGTAATTATCGAGGTTTCGCGGTACGATCGACGACGACCTAACATTGAACTCGACCAGGTGTCCCGCTAATCAGGCCCCGTAACCGATACGCGATCTGAACTCGAATCGTTTTCGCACTAGTAGAACGCGGCGTACAATAAATAATCGGTCTACTAAATATAAACCCGAACCCTTTGTAGGAGCACCGCGGAGGGGAAACGGGCTGCCCAGGATGAGAGAGTGAAACTCGAATTGGAAGAGCAAAAGGTGTGGGAAGCAGTGCAGATAGCGCAGGAACGGGTGGCTCATCTTGATGAGATTATTGAACAGGAGAAGGCTGCCGCCGAACTCGAAGCCGAGGAGGAGAAAATCGTGGCCCAGCGTTTGGAGACCGAGATCATAATCCAGGCGGAGAGGTACAATAATTCCCTGTTAGACCACAGATTTTTATGAGAAACTTAAAAAACACGTTTCACTTGTCGTTCGACCGTTGCAATTTTCGCTCGCACGTTCCTATTCTCTGCAAATACAATTTCTCAAAAATCTGCGGTCAACGTATAAGTTCATTGAAGTCAAATTAACCCTGCGTTCGAGGAATGCTTCGATTGGTATGAAATTTGTCGTTTCAGGAAGATAGTGGAGGCTCAAACGACGGCTTTGCTGGAGGAACAGAAACGGATGATAATCGAGGAAAATTTGGAAAAGGCACGTGATAATAAGGAGGAGAAGGAAGAGAGACTGGCCAATGTTACGTTCGACGATCCTGTCGACGAAGTGAAAGACCACGAGCATTGCCACGACGACGTGATAACGTGCGATATCACTGATCAAGAGAGAGAGGAAAGGCCGTATGACCCAGTCACGGACGACGATACTAGGGTACTTCCGTTTTTTTTTTTTAAATAAAACCTGTTTTATTGTATGTTGCATTACGTGTATGTTACTCTGTTAAAGATCGAAGAGGAGAACGTACACGAGGAAGAGCACTTTGAGTTATCGGAAGATCCCTTCGTGGAAGAGCCAGAAGGCGCAGACTGTAAAGCGACTGGTGGCAATTCGGTGGAGGGATCGACGAAGATCGAAGAGGTGACGTCGGGTGGTGAGGACAATTTCGAATGGGGTGACCAAGACGCTTAGAATCGCCCCGTACGTGCTATGATCGCCAAAGGATAAATATTTGCTAATCACGAATGTCGTTCAGCTTGAATCGCTTTAAATTTCGATGTTCTTTATTTATTAATGTACGCGTTACGATTCGTTGCTAGAAAGAGGCAACCAGTCGATCGATAGCGAACATCGATCTATCTCGGTCTGCTTCGGAAGCTTTGAACGACCACACGAGAAGCGGTCCTAAATTTTGTTTAATGGTTTTAGCAATGTGTCAGAAATTCTGAGGGGTAAAAGACAATTTTTTTTTAGACAAACTGCTTAGTGAGTAGTAGATTATCGTACGCTTCATTCTATTTACGTCGAATAACTTATTCCGTTGTACGTCAGTTTCACTCGATCGATATCATATTTTATTTAATATTATTTATTGACAAAGTAACACGACGATTGTTCGAAGAAGGGGAACGAGCATACTACAAACGATTCATTCGAATCATAGGATTCTGTGTATTAAAATATTTCGAGGGCCAGTGTCTGGTCTTTGTGTCTTTCACGATCAAAATCAACAAATATTTATTACGTTACTACTCTCAGTCTCGATTCATTCTGCACTATTCACATTTGTAGCATGCACTCTATGTTCACGCGATACGTATTTTGTCTACACTCATACAGCAATAAATATTAACATTTGAATATTTAGAACTGTGCTTATTTACCACCTGCCCTTTCCCAAAACCTTTTAAGATATCCAACGACGAAAGTGAGTGAGTCTCGAATTCCCGAACCGATAACGAAAGCGAAACGAAATTAAATATGCATAAAGAGGGGTTTGAAACGGGTCTACGGAAAAACGGGGTTAAATACACACGTATGTTCGGACTCAACGGACTAAACGCCATGCGTGTAGATCAGCACTCGTGTTTATCCGAAATCAATCATTAATCCCGGCGTGTTTGGCCGATGTCAGAAGCGTGGGTGTCCCGGCTTCAGGATCTTTCTTTTTTTTATAGAGAGAACAATCACGTGCCTCGACCTTGGTTAACGGTTACGTAACGTCGTTGATACCGGGCCGATCGATAATAAAAACAACGATGAACACACGCTCGCTTGTTCTTGCATGAACGTAAGCATCGATAATGTCTGATCGTTTCTTCGGAATCGCAAATCAAATTCAACGATTACACGAAACTCCGTGATTAAGCAACAACGTTAACAAGTTTGAACGAAGAAGCTTTCGTTGGAAATATTAAGTCAAGAGATGATGAGCAGTTGCGTCGAATCGATCAAGGAATTACCGATTACGTCGTTCGATTTTCAGAATGCGAAACCGCGAAAGACGTAGCAAAATTTTTCACTTGAAATAATTTTCAAAGATTACACAGGGATTAAAAAAATTAAACTAACACAAACGAAAAACGTGCGGCACGCTGAAAGTAAATCTGGATTAGATATTTGAAACCGGTGCAACGAAACGTTTGATTCGCCTAAAAGTGAGTGAATGGAATCGAATGAATGACGTCAAACGGTTGATTTTGAAAATGAAAGCGACGAGGCGAAATCGTTTGTAAAAGAGGTAGAGGGTCGTAATCAGGAAACCGATGATCGTCCCAAACGTCCGTTGGCCTACCGGTAATATCATAATTTTCGGAAATGAGCACCGAGATTAGAGAGGACTGACGTCACCGTCGGGACAATAAAAAGAGGGATTCGCCTTGGTTCGTCTCGAACGGTGCGTATATCACTGACAATGAACCGACCGCGACGGGAAAAGCGGGATGCGACGTAAGCAGAATCGTGCACACGTATACATATGTATGCGCGTTATGTACAGCGAGTACGTACGTACGTACGTAAATTCCCACCCACACGGTGAAACACGCCGCAGCGTAGGCGGTACGCATTATTTCTCAATTAGAAAACATCAATGGCGAATGCTCCCGACGAGCTTCCTGCGTCTTGTATTCTCGCTAAAATATTTAAGGACACCGATCGATCCGATTATTAGTACCACGCGAATGCGAAAATTCTATTTATGCTCTCTCGTGCCGTAGGATCGTTTCTCGATCAGGAGTCCTTCTCGTTTGTCTCGAAAATATTTTAGAGTATCCATCGATTCCATTGTTAATCCTGTACGAAATTCCTGTTTGATCTAAAAGAACATCTGATATTCACCAGATGTCAACGGCTCCGCGACGATCCAGCAGAACGAATCGAGTACCATGAGATTTCTATAACGAAACTGGCAAACTTTAACGATCCACCTTGACGCTATATCCGTCCCTCGTACGTGACATTGGCAATGAATTGTGTGAATAGCCGGATGCGAACGCGAGGGCTCGGAAAAGTCGATTGAACCTGACCGAAAGGTACAATAACTACTTGCCCGGGGGATCGTCGAATTTCGCAGCGTCGATTCACGGTTTATTATCGTGGCTCGCGAATAAATCCACGTGCCGTGTGCCGAATCGAGAGTTATCCTATTATCGTACCACTAAATCGATCGCGAGAGTGTGTCGGGTAAAAAAAGAACATAGCCGAAAGGGTTGTAAAACCGTGTATAAGGTAGAAATGCGTCACTATGCGAAAAGCTATTTCGGTGAATGGGTATGGAAAAAACTTTTATCGCCGGGACTCGAAATAAACCGGCTCTACAGAGTAAACGAGCGTACGGTAATCCCGATCTTACACAGGTGACGGATCGAATCGTCATTGGTGTCGTCATGGTGAATCGATGACAAAGATACGTGTATGTACGTGCCATGGCTAGCGAGTCGCGCCGCGAACGGCTCGATAAGGGCACGATAAACCCCGAGCTGTCTCCGAAAGAAATTTGCAAGAAAATTGATAGCGTCGGAGGAAATCGTATTTTTGTTCCCCTACTTCGCAAAACTCGGGAATTCGTTGGTGGAAAGGGCGATTCGCCGAATGTTCCGAGCTGACGTCAGTGCGGAGTCGTTGGCGCCACTGTCCTATGACGTCATTAGGGGTGTACTCGGGGTGGCACGCGGGGGTGGCTCACAGGCGTAGAATTCAGGAAACGGAGATAAGAATTTTCCCCGGTCAAACGATTGAATGGTAATCTAGCAGCCATTCGCGAGCAACGACCGACAGTCACAGACTACTTTTAATAATCGTCGTCGAACCGTTCGTTGCAATCGTACACGAGCTCGGACTCGATTAAAATACGAATCGCAATGAACGATCGCTTTTAATTCGGACCGTTTTAATAAGAGTTTAATGGAGAACGAGAAAATTTCCATCGGCTAAATTTGATTTTGACGATATCGTTCGGCGTTCGGTCCAGATGTCGGAGATCAGAGTTTCGAACACGGAAGGGTATAAATTGAATATTACGCCACTGGGTCAGGCTGTCAAACACGTGCCACCTCCAACCCTCCACGCCTCCGCCATTTTGGTGCTGAAGTTGGGTCTCTCATCCTCTCTCGTCCATGTAATCTCACTTCGTACTGTTCCCAACGTTAGTCGACGTTATTTTACCGATTCTTTTTCGCGAACCCAGTGGCGTAAACGGCCGTAAAGGACAACCGTAAAAGCGAAAGCTAAACGGCACGCGAGAAGCTTCCCGGTTGAGCAAACAACAAAAAGTATTCTCCCCCAACCAATCCCCACCCGCGGCTCGGATCTTGATTCCGTTCTTTTTTCGAAAAGGGATATCTTTATGATCGTGTGTACGCGAGCTGGAAACTCGTTTCGAATCCTGCGTAATAAAGTGGGTAGGAAAAATGGAAATGTTTTTCTGGCTTTCGGAGTGGCTCGTCGAGCGAAGTGGGCGGTTTGCGAAATTTACAATTTTCTCCGAGAACGCCCGAAACGAGTGCCATTGAATTCTCACGCTGGCTTAAAGCGAGCAGGTTTTAAAGCCTCGCGGAAAATCAAGTCCGAGGAGTAGCGGACGATCGGTTTCGAACATTGCTTTATGCTCTATTTGCGATAATGAAACAACGCTTGTATCGATAAATCTCTTCGCGATCGGCTCGATATTCGGAAATAGTACAATGGTACACGTGTAACGCCGGCATGCCAGCGTCACGTGATTGTTTAGCCTATTTATAGTACCGCGATGCAGTAAACTGGCGAAATTCAATCGAGACAGCGGATGATGGTTCACTCGCTACGCGCGAATAACTCGATTGAAAAAAGTTCCACGACGTCGTCGAACCGTCCAAGATATTCGAGTCTAGGCAGTGAAATTTCCTGTTGTAAAATAATTTACGAGCATACATGGAGCACGGAGAGTGTTGCGCGAAGCAAACGATACAATTGGGCAAATGAAAGTAGGTGACTGCGAACAATGAGCCACGATGAGCCAAGAATAAGATTCTCTATTCACCGTGACGCATTGCAGTGAATCACAATTGAGACACGTCACTCACCGTTGAATTTACCAACTGCGAGCGTCAAACCCTTCTTCCTTAACACGATTTCTCCGCGGAATTGTACAGACGCACAATTAGATCTGCTTGAAAATATCCTGTACTCCGGATCGATAAAACGTCTTCCGGCACGACGGACTCGACTGATTTTTACCGTGAACGATGAAAATGCCTTTACACGTTTCGAGTCTCAGCGAGCAAAAATTCAATTCGAAGCGCTATAGAAAAAATCGTGAACGCCGCGACTCTTAACTCCGCGAACGAGCAGACGTGCATTTCGATCGATCGCGTGAAAGCGCGAGCTTCCGAAATTGGTAAAACATGGTATATTGGTAAAATTTCGCGATGTTAGTTTGGGAAGTTGAAACAGATTCGCGTATGTGTATTTGTAAACGTGAAACGACGCGTACGTCTCGTCTATCAGTTTTGGATCCGAGGAAGAAGCCGGACACAAAGGAAGGAAAGGGAGGAAAAATAAAATAAAGAGAAGGTTGCTCATATATACGTAGATACGTGTTTGGCGTCGGATAGAAAGAGAGGACGAATCAGGGGTATATGCAATCGATAATATCCACGGACAAAAATACTCTTCAGCGGCTTATAGACTTTCAGGCATGGCGTAGATACGTCCGGACCTTCCGACCTGCCGGAAAATCTTTTCATACGCGTGCTTATTCTCTGATTGAAAATATTTACGTTACACGCCGAGTAAAATCCGAAATGTTTGGTCAACCTTACTTATACTCGTTAACTAACATTTCCTCTCCGCGTCTCGTTTAAAGAGTCTTAAATCCACGCACACGAATCGTCGCTTTTACGTTTCAGCAAAACTAATAATAAAGACGTTGCGACGTCGTTATGCAGTCCATTGTGACAACATTGACACGTCGATTTATTATAAAAATCCTACAGATGAAACTAGAGGAATCGGCAACGGGAATCGAAAACGCGGCATTCGATGAATTTATAGATTCCGGGACTGGCGTCACATCTACGTACGATGTTCTACGGGAACTGCGTCTGCGTTCAAAGAGAGCTTGCACTAATACGATCAGCTCGTAATTGCAAACATTTTACGTCGCAGCGCGCGAGAATGAAAAAGGATTGGATTCGAGGAAAAGCGTTGAGCGAATTAAAATGAACGAAAGCGAAGGGAATTGAGATTTATTAACTTCGGTTCCGGTATGGGAGGAATCCGTACGCCCTCGTGATTTTTCCTAACGGATACAGACCGTTCTTTTTCTCGCCCGGAGAAGAAGAACGTTTAACCTCAATATCAGATGTCCGGTGTGTCGAGTCAGGTTTTGAATCCAAGGTCTCGAGCCGCGCCGCGCCACGCCGCCGGTCCCTTTTTCATTCGACTGCCACGCAACACCGAGCTTTTCCGTTCTAAATAGATCGACGAACGCGTGTTTCGTTCAAACCTTTCCCCTCCCTTGACACAGTTCAAACAGCCGCGCGTCTCTTAAATCCTTTAGTAGAAGAACCGGAGAATTCAGTGATCCGTCAAGGAGATCGCGATCTAGGCAGAAGCTCGTGATAAGATATTGTATCAGTATTGACGCACGTAATAATCTCGGAGAAAATACCTATTTACAGAAAAGACGCGGCCTCACCGTTTCTTCTCGATCAATTTACAATCGCACGTACTAGATACGGATCTGAGGATCGTTATCACTGACGCACGGTGCGTTCAAATAACGATCGTCTGTTTGCCACGCGCAATTAACCCTTCTTATTTATAATCTCGGAGAAAATTTCCCTGACATCATTCGTTTTCGGTCAACAGCAATTTATGACAAATCCGATGATACGAAGCCAAGAAGAAAATAGACGTTGTTATAATAACAAAGTACTAAATAATACGTGACGCACTGCGATTCAGAGTCGACGGTGACGAGGAATTTTCGTACAGCTCCCCGTAGGAATTTCCAACTAGCACAGGGTAGTCGAGATCTCATTGACGCCAGCCTCAGCCTCGAGGGAGATGTTGACCCTGGCTGGTCAGGCATGGCACGCCGAGCATCGACTTTAACGAGCGAAAATAGGGAGCCAATCGACTCTCTCAGCGAGTCGGTCTTTCGTGCGGACGAACGTGAGAAGGAACGTGGAAGACAAGCGTGGAAGGACACGAGTTTCTGTTCTACGAGCGGTGTGGTGGTTAACCACTGCGCTATGGCATGCCGCGACAAAATTAGCGGCCAACCGAAATAATTTACCGCCGGACTCGAGGAGCTGTATGGTCTTTCGTGACCCTGAAAACCGACACAGTTCGCTCGAGGCTCGCAATTGCTTATTAACCAAGAATACTCTACGTTTCCTACTACTTTCCTAGTCGTTCTTATTCATTTCCATACCGTCTATGCGCTGTTCTGGTAAGACACCTGATGCCAGCTGATAGCTTCGTAATTAAATCACACTGATGCGAGTAAACAATAATTTATTGACTCGGTCGGAGAAGGCCTAGACATTTATCATACGATTTCATCGAACGATCGAAAGAACGATTTCAAACGGTTCGTATTGATTCTCGTACGGTTGGAAAGATCTATCAATCGGCCGGTCGATGATCCATCAAACGCGCGCGACGTGACATCGGGAGAGCCTTGGCCGACGACGGGACGCGACGCGCCGGGTCGCCGGCTGTTATCGCCGACGGTTTGCAGTTTAAAAACTGATTACCGCGGTAGCAGCAACATCGTTTGGCAGACGAATAAAAACACGATGTGAGATAAAGCGGACATACCCAGGAGCAGTAACGTTTCGTTCACCTACACGCTGTTTTCTAGGAATCAGAGTTTCTCCACGCAACGGGTCGGTCGGTGATCGATCGTAAAATGCATCTACTACGTAGATTGAAAGATATCGAAATTCAGAGAGAAGTACGTCATTACGCGTGATTCATCTGTTAGTGAAATAAGCAGCATCCGCTTCTGAGAAACGTCTGACCGCGACGATCGTCGCCTTTCTTTAGGATTGTCATTTGAAAACGCGGTTTTCCCTACATTAGACTTTGACCTGTTCGATTGTCATAAACGCGTGAAATCCGCGCGGTCCGTCGATTTGAAATTCCTGTTCCCTCGGTCTCTGCTGCAGCGCCACAGTTAACGAACAGAGTCGCGAGGAAAACAATTACAGACAATTACTAATGCTCGACGATGCTTTATGGTATCGTTTGACCACTATAAAGGCCAGCGACGAAGATAGATCAATTAAACGAGTCCGTGCAAGAATAGAAGAGAATATTTTTACCAAGTCTCTACCGATCTTTGTACGAAGATCGAAATTCCTCGAGATACCCTCCCAAAATATCGATCCACGTCGGTAATATTTCTATGATCGCATCGAAGCCCGGTAACAAACGTGGGCACACGTGTCGTATCGTTTGACGTTCGACCAGCAACGTGCGTCGGAACGGGATCGAAACGGGAGTCGGATCGTCCCCGGAGTGCATGAAAACAGCCGGGGCGAGGGGGGATGGCGGCGATCGACGGTGGGGTGGCATGAAATAAAATTTGTCGGTTGCATCCCCCTTCTCCGGTGGAGCGGTAACCTGCAGTTGAGGTCGTAGCGCGGCAATAGAGAGGAGGTCGAGCTGATCAGTCTGCGCGAGTCTTTCGAGCGGTGAACGTCGTCGTGTAGTTCCCCCATTGGATACTCGGCTATCTCAACGAACCGCACTGGAACGTTTCATCATTTCTTTTCATCCTCTCTCCTGGACGTGGTCGATCGTCGACCGTGCGACGAGCAAGATTCGTCAGCCTCGACTCGCGTTTAACAAAATCTGACGGTCGCTGACACGGCGGAAATTTTTCGAACACAAATGGTTAGAGGTAGGTGAGAGATCCGCGTCGGACGGAATTCCAACGGCTAGCGAAAAATCTATTACGGACCGATCTACTGACGTCTGACGAGTAGCCGTCCGTGTCTACTTGGGAGTCGCGCGGCCGGTCGAAGCCTGGCATCCCGTGTGCCTAGCTAAACTCGTTTCGCGCGTGCATTTAAAACGAGAGGAGGATCGCGGTATGCAATTAAACCGGAGTGCTTTCGACGGGCTGTTGTGAAAATGTTCAGCTTGAAATCGACGCAGGAATCTCGAGTGGAGCGGAAACTTCGCAACTGGCCGCGAGCCGCCGTTTACCCGGTGTAATAATACCGGGAGAGACAGAGAGAGAGAGAGAACGCTCTCCGTCAGCTCGAGTTTTCTTGCCCTCTTTGTTCTCACCGAGAAGTGGTCACGGTTCCATGTGCAAGTTCCATTGTCTAAGGTCGCGAAGCACTCGAGCCCCGATCCTCTTTCCTGCGCGAAGGTCGATCCAGCTTCAACCCAAATAAAGAAAATTCCTCCCGGCATTGTTAGATCAGTCTCACGGTCGCACGTGTAGAGACACGGTTCACGCTTCTCGTTTCAGCTTCGTTATTACAGTAATTAACGCATCCGTAACGCATAATTGGAGGCTCGTTCGCGAGACGTTCAAGGTGATCGCAACTGCGTCAAGACGCTCGGAGTTTCATCCGTTTAATTAATCGTTTTATCGGGCGAAACAGACGCGGTCCATGGGGCCAAGGCTCCGATCGGTCGCGATTCTATTTTAGAAAAATCGTACATGGATCACGTTTTGGCAGTGCCGATAATCGCGCGCGTACGCTGCCCACCCCTGTCTATGTGTCGAGCCAGAAATAATGCATCCATCTTTCTCGAATCGCGCATTCCGATCTCGTTGAACCTTTGTACGATGCTATTAGTAGCAAGGGTAAAAACGTACTCGGCAAGGTATAATTGAAGTTCGCGTGGTTAATGACGTAGGGAATGACGCGTGCACCGTGCACGTGCAAAACGAACCGCAGTCGATCATACGTCCCACACGCGATTCGACCCGTTCCGACGAATATGATTTTTTCCCAATTGACAAACGTCTCGTTTCGCTATGATCAATGACCTAATACGCGATGGCCAGCCGCCAGTAAAAGAACCGATGCAATTTACATAAGAACATTGGTAGAAACCGTATCGATCGATCTATAAATAATATGAACGAACGGGATAGCGCGTGTCAATGTTAATGGAGATCGAATTACGAGACTACGAGTAATCGAGGCTCCACTGAAATCTGTCTACCAACAGAACCTGTCACTGAACTTTCTCTCACGGAAACGTTGTTTCCCGCGATCCGAGCGAGACGAGCGGTGTATCACGTTATATCGTGCATGAACGATCGTGCCTCCCGACGTACGATCGTTGTCTCGCGATGAATGAAGCTCCTTTTACGCTTCGCGTCCTCGCCAGAGACGCGTGTCGACGAGAGAGAAACGTAACAAAGTTCTGTTTGAACAACTCGGCGCGACCACGGGAATAACATTAACGAAGCGTTATTCATATCTGAGCTGAAACACGGATCGACGCAGAAAATCCGTGAAGTCACCGCGACAGGTCATTTACTCGGACTTCTCGTTAGTCAACGAGGCAGAGCGAACGATTCCCAAGAACCGTTCGGGCATTCCCACGTCACGGGGCCGTGTTACTATAAATCAAATCGCGTGCCAGAATCTCTACGAAAGAGTTTCCATCGAATCAACGAATTTACGTGTTGTTCCAGGATCGTTGCCTGACATCGCAGTGACGATGGCATCGGGAAGAGAGATTTACGGTGCATTCAGGTAGGTAAAGAAAATTGAAGCGAGATAGCTCGAAAAATGCGCGTGCGTGTCGCGTGACGAGAACGAAAAGGAAAAACGCGGAACCGACGTCGAGCCACCCCCGATCGCGGTCTGGGAATAGAATCGTGCACGTGTCTGCAGACTCGAGTGCTCGTTATTTCCAGAATTTTCGTGGGAGTAAATTTCCAGCACGACCTTTTCCGCAGTTTTACCGGAAACGTCAGCGTGGGCAGTGGTCGATGTCGAATTATATGATCGTCTCGATGTGCTGTCCGATCGAACCCGTCTTCCGACTCGGTTCCGACTTTGAAGGTTCTCGCGATGAGTTACCAATAGACGAACAGCGTGTCATTGCGATACATTCCGAGATCTTTCCTCGGCTGTTTTCAAATTTCCCACGGGATCGTCCCTTGCCGATGTAATGCCCCGCCGATCACGGTTCACAGATCGTGACACGAATCTCACGCTTCTCGGTCGTGCCTCTTTTTATTTTTACATGGCTTACGATCCGTCTGTCCGCTTGAAATTTCGCCGGAGAGATCCGGTCTGACACAGTGTTTTACGTAAAATCAATCCATTATCCATAGCTGGACTACGTGCTTCAGTACCAATGACGTAACACTGACGCAAGCGGCAATTGTTGCCACTACAATGCTGCAGGGCAGAATGTCAATAGTTCAGAACGGCTATGAAAATCACGTCCCCCTCGCCTCGAATGTCTGATCCCGCACGTTCCTCTTTACGTTCCCAAAAATGTTTCGAATTCGATCTACGATGTCTACCCTCGAAAATGAACGCGACTGCGAACGATCGTCGGATCGAGTCAGACGTTCCTCTTTGCTATTTCCAGTTTGATCGTGGACGACGTGGATTCTCATTCGATATCGTGCGAGAGCCTGAATCTGGACGGTCTGTCGAACGAGAGTAGCTCGTCGCAGACTCCCCTGGACAGTCCGGGTGGTCCCCGGGAAAAGATCAAACAGATGCAGGTGGAGGCCGAGACCAGGAGAGGAGAATTCGCGAGGCTGCTCGAGGAACACGCTCAAGTGGTGAGGAAGTTGAAGCTGATGGAGGCCGAGGAGCAACACTCGGGAACCGGGAACGTGGTGGGAGCTACGCACGCGTGATTCCGATCAGCGCGGTCGAAAAAAAAAAATAGGAGAAGACAGTCTTAGGATTGGGACCACCGCGCCTGACGCGCGCCACGTTCGAGTGCGACGGCAAATTGGGATTTTGCAGGAATTACGTGCGCGAATACTGGTAGTAGGAGCGTGCTAGGAAACTATTTTTTAAACGTATTCTACTGTAGTCGCGAATCGATCAAGTTTAAAACCGCGTCCGTTCGGGTTAGAGAAATTACACCGAACGAGAACCGTAAAAAAAAAATTAGGAGAGAGCTCTCTCAGTCGGCAACTGCTTAACTCCTAGAGGATTCAAATTGCGGCGCGATGGTTAGTCCTTAAACGAGACAAGTCCGCTTCTCGCGAAGCAACGTCTGAGTAATTAACGTGTAAATGTGACGCGAACGACTAAACGGGTCTCGTTGTTCGGAGTTCACCGAGACAGGAACTAATTAGCTCGAGGAGGTAATCTCGATTCGATCACCAAGTCTGAAACACTTGTTCTTTACGACAATAACGATCAACAACACTCGGCGTAAATTCGTTAAACGTTGTAACAATTAACGATGTACATACACGGCAGAACTGGCTGGCCTAAACGTAGTACAAACTTTTAAAGGGACGAGGATAAGGGCGTAGCGCTAACCAGATTAGCGAGAAGCTTTAGTTTTACCACTGTTTTCGACGCGCTACCGTTTCCGACGACGTTTCCGAGCGGAACGTCGGTGACCGCGCGAAAGCGTAGTGCACGTCGGCGAAGTAGAAGCTTCTACGCTGTGCAGCGTTGTATATTTTGAGTGTTCCGTATGTCTAAGCGAATAGTTTTGTATACCGTAAGCGTACACGTAGCGTAGGACTGTAAGCCTGCCGTAATACGCGTCAAACGTTTTCTGTAAATAGATTGCTGTCTATCGTCTAAGGGTGTTTATCCACGAGAAGCCTTAAAGTAAAGTAGTCGAACGGTAACAAGAGTCATCAATCGAACACTCGGTTTCACGTGACTTTTTTTTTTTACTATGAAACAGGAAAGATTCGGTGATTGATCCCGAGTCGACAAACCAAAAGACCTTTCTTGTCTCTATGTGCATATTGCGTCAGGTTTGTATCCGTATGAAATAGGTATTACTAGGCATTTATAAAAGTATGCACACGTGTAAAGAGATATACATACAAAATAGGAACATACGCGTACGTCGACCTTGCTACTGTTAATCCTACATCGTAATAGATCGAACAAACCCATCCTTATTATAATTCCCCGATCGTCATTGCGACTTTCGACAAATTCATTTTCGTACGAAAAATCTATATTTTTTCAGATCGACACGAAAGAAACGCGAGGTGATCTGAATTGATCTTAGAAGGGCGTAGAATAGAAAACTATTTCTACCGTTATAGATATTAGTTTGTAACAATAACGTTTGTAGCATACTGTTGATGAATAAATGTTACGTTTTCAGTATCACTGCTACATTTGTTTGTAACAATGTCACACCTCATGAAGATCAGTCGATGAGCATTGTACTTGGCATTGTAAGTATACCGCATATTGAAAAAAAATATATACTTTATTGAATTGGGTATATACACTCTTAATCACAGAAATGATTTTTGATTCTTTTTATAACACAATACTTTCCTTCGTGGCGTCGATGCCAAATGAGTCTAATTCCTCACGTAATAAATATCTAATATCTCTATGTCAATTACTTACACATGAGTAAAACTAAGACGTGTTATCTCAATGATGTTGAAAAACAAGGATGTGTTCACACAAAATAAGGATAGTAAACTGCCTAGTCTAGACAATCGTTATATGAGTAAAAAAAATATGAATTTACGTAAAGCAAAGCCGAACCTTTTATTTAATCTCCTCAGGGTTCCTCAGGGTTCAGGAGGCCTGAACGCTCCATCGCCAGCAACAACAACCTATGATTCAACTTGGCGTTATGATCTCTCAAATATCTTATCAAGTCTGCTTGTTTCTCAAGCAAGTCCTCCACGTTAGATTGCCTCTCACGATAGCCTACTACATCGTTACTACCCGAGTACGATTCCTGAGTATAAGACGATAGCCACTCTTCGCGAATAACATCAGGCTGTGGACGATATCGATTAAATCTCATAACTCTCTCTGCAAGAGAAAAAACTGTTTGGTACCCTGGAAATCCCTTGAGCCAAAAATTCCATTCTCCCTTCCCCTCGTGTGTATACTCACTGATGTAATTTATATAGACCGGCACAATAATCAAAACCTCCACCGTGGTCAAAAGAAGTATATAATTCAGAGGAGTGAACCACTCGGATGCACGACAGTATTGTTCGTAATTGACTTTGTGCGTGTGATGCAGGATCACAGCTAACAATAAATAGCACGTTATCCATAGAGAAGCTATGAACAGCGGTGCTCTTATTTGTTGATAGGTCGACTGATAGAAGTCGAAATACCCGTATATACGAAGCTTATAATGCCTCGCCTTTAACAAATGATCTACTAGCATGATTATCATCCAATAAGCACAGTGTAGGTACAGATATATAAAATACGTGTCGCATTTATTCTTCTCCTCGGGCCAGACCGATACAAATATAATTCCCGTGATTTCTAAACACACCTAGAAGTAAGTACAAACAAGTTCTTATGCAACACAAATGCAGATAACGTCCATGTAGAGACCGTGTTCGAGACATTGGCACTTACACCCAGCACCAGAGGTACAGATGCGATTGGAACTGTCTCTAATTTTCGAAAATCATCTTCTCCCAGAGAAGACAATACAGGCTGAAGGTATTCCTCGTCATCCATGTTGAGAGACGAGTCGAAGAATACAGCCCCCTGATAAAATCGAAGTTAGAAACTGTCGCTTCGACAACTGTCAATGGAAAAACGTCTATGACGTTCACAACGCGAAACGGAAATGTACTCGGAAGAACGGCTGCATAGCCAGGGAACGAAAGGTTATGTTTACATTACGAGACACGAGACTGACAAGGACAGAACAATACCAAGCCCAGTTTACTGGACGACATTCTTTCGTATAATATACTCACACTACCCGAAGTGTTCAAGTTTCTGATAAGACTGACCATGTCCTATTTCTATTATGAGTAGGACGAAACGACAGATTGAGAATTCAGTTCTCACCGACAGAAATTAACTAACATATTTATTTATCTGTTAACAATGCGTAGTATGCTCTTTTACCGAGCATACCGAGTACTCTTGACTGTAGATGACGCATTAAGTATGTATCGACGCAAACTTTTTAGCTACTGTTCAATTTGCACATCATATAAATGTAAGAAGGCGATGATTGATGGCTACAACGACTATACTTAATGACAATACCTACAATTGCACAACTCGACACTCGCCTGCTACAAAATCAATACGCGAATTTCGATTCACGAGTATACTTACAATGCTTCGTTCAATCTCATACACACAGCTATTTAAATATTCGTCGTACACATCATGATAAAAATTAATTATTTATATACGTATGCAATGATGCAAGTATATGTAAAGCTCGTATAATAATAGATCACATTCATATTCACAATGCTAACGTACAAC